ATGGATGGATGGATGGATGGATGTCCAATATTGCAGATTCAGTGACATAATCTGAAATAAATGACATTTTTCCAGGTTCTTGTTTTTAGTTTTTTAGTTTTAGTTTTAAGTAAATCAGAGATGTTTGAGCAAATGGCCCCGGATGATCTGGGATGGGATAACTCATGCAGAATAAAGTAATCTGATTAAAAAAAAAGTTTAATTAAAGTTTAAATGAAGCTTAATTATAAGTTTTGGTTTAATTACCTAATCGAGCCACATGTCACAACGAGTCATTAGAAAGTTGAAAATCTGATGATTTTACAGTTTTGGCTGATAAATGGCGTAATTTTGGCTTCTTTTCTTTTCTTGTTTTTTTAATCATGCCGTTTAAACCTGCTTTAAACCTGGCTGGATTCCAAACCAACCAGTGTTGAGTGGGTGATTAAGAGATTTGGCACCAAGTCTGCGTCGGTGCAGGCTTAGTGGCTACACCACCCAGAGTGCTGCACCTGTCTTTAGTACAAAATGGGGGAAACGCCAACATATATGAATTTTTTTGAAGCTTTTACTTTTGTGCTTCAGCTTAAAGTGTTTCCAAAACAACATAATATCCCCAATATGTCTGAGCAAAAAGAGTAGCACCTAAAAAAACAGAATAAATATGGAATTAGAAACTTTGCTTTATGCAAAAAAAAAAAAAGCCAAATATTGTGTGACATTAATCTTTTCTTGTGTTCTTTGCAGCATGTTTTTTTATTTGTGCACTTTGAATCTTGCAGCATGTTTTCTCTTTTTGTCCTGAACTACAGCTGTAACGGTTTCTGTATTGTTATTAAAATCCCGATGCACAAACAGGATGACGATAAAGTTCATCCTCTTAAGTTCTTTATCTCTGTGCGGTTGTTTAAAACAACATTCCTGCAGCTGAGGGTTGAATTTCGCTGCTGCCTTTGTGGTGAAGGTGGATAATGAGGTCGAATCCATTTTAATTTAGATTGAACGATTGATAAGTGTTTTTTTTACATTTTCATCCCTAATCTGTACAGATCGCTCATTTAAATAACACTTTGATTTTCCACACTTGCTTCTTACTTTTTATTTGACACTTGCTTTTTAAAAATATTTCCTCCTTCTTTAAATTTTAAATGTAATTGAACTGATTTGCTGCAGAACACCAAGCGAACGTGCTCGTATGTGAAAACTGGTAATTAATCACTTTCTCCGCTCCACTAGATGCTCACAATACTTCCTGTGTGTCGCTACAAATGTTTGTTTTGTTCAGACTGAAACTGTGGTTTCGACTGTTAGCCGTGTTAATCTCCCGGTGCAGGTCTTCACATGCAGAACGGTGAGCCTCCCGGAGTCGTGTCAGGACAAATTCACAAACCTCATCATCAGCCGTTCAACCTTTAAAGGTCACCGCCATTAAACCTGCTCAATCTGGAATAATTACTTTAACATTTTGGAGCCACTTAAAAACTATGAAACTGTCGTGATGTGACACGAAGCTCTTTGAACCTGACATGACGAGTCATCTCTGAACAATGCGAATGTAAAAGGAGGCAAATAGATACACTGAAAACTGACATTTTATGGATGTCTTGACTGATTAAAGACGTCTCTGAGATGCTTCAGGTTCTATTTTTGCATTAAATTCAGACTTTTAGAGTCCGTCAGTGTTTTGATTTTGCATTATGTGACGTAAAACTTGCAGCAGCAGAAATAACGGGCAGCATGTTGATGTGCATGATATGTATTTTAAAGCTTTCTTTACTGTTTCCTTGGTGCCTAAATGTTCGACCGTGTTGGTAGCAGAGAGTTGATTCATTGCAGCAGGACTCCAAAACCAAACCTTTGCTTTATGTCAGATTAAATCGTGCTGCTCTGTGGAGCTGACCTCCAACAGATGTGTCATATGTCAGTCATATGAAAAGATGAATATTTTTGCTCAGCTCTGTGCACAGCTTTGGTGCTTTTGCTCTTTTATATTTGCATTCAATTTTGTTTATTCTTGCAGAAATGTAATGGTTCTTCAGAGAGCTTTCTTGTTCTTCTACCATTTCAAGAAACTCTTCATTTAGGGTTTTTTTTTACAGACTTTATGTGATTTTTTTAAAAAGGCTTTTCATTTTTATTGGACTTACTCGGTTTGCTGGCAGACAGTAGCATAAAATTAGAGCTGCAGCTAGCAATGAATTTCATTATTAATTAATTATCTGGTTTGTACAACACCAGAAAACGTTGAGAAATGTCTGTCACAGTTTCCTTAATCCCAAGCTGGCATCTTGGAACACGTCCTGTGTGACCAACTCAAGAAACCCAAATATTAAATGTCAGTGAATGCGAACCGACCTGTTTCTACGCCCTGGATCTGACCTCTGACCATTGTTACAGGTCTGTGATTAGTGGCTTTTCGCTGTTGCGTGACAGCAGGGCTGCAGAGCGCTGATCCATCACTCACTTAGGGGATCTGTCATCTTCTATCCGCCCTGCAAACCAAGCTGGTCTTTCTGCAAACTTAATCTGGGTTCAAACTTGTTTACAGCTGAGCTCTGCTGACAAAGCAGTGATTTATGAGCCCCTTCAAACAAATGCGAGTGCATATGAGGCTGAAATTAAACACCACCTTCTGTAAGCTAAGCGCCGAGAAGACGTTTAATTAAAAGAAGGCAAAGTACATACCGCTGATCTTTCTGCTATGTACGCTGCACTGGTAAGGTCACCTCATTCTCATGTGGTTACCTGTCAGAGAGAGACGGCCGTTTGTCTTATTAAAACAATCTACTGTGGCAAATGTATAAAAAATGCACATAATCCTTTAACTCTGGCTGTTTACTGTACTTGAGCTTACATGAGTTAGACAGGAGGAATGCTTTTTAAATGAAGTGGCTCCTGTACCGGAGATCTTTAGTCATCAGGAACTAGAACACCTTCTAAAGTCAAAGGCAGTAGCTCATGCTGGCTGCTACATTTCAAAGACTCGATTCATCCGTGCAATAAACCAGTGACCCCGGGCCCACCAGGACCCATGCACCTATATACTCATTATTATTATTAGCTCTGTTTGCCCACATTGCACCGTGTGCTTACTTTCTTCTGTAAATACCAGCATTTTTAGGCACCTTATGCTGTTTCTTCCACCAGCAATTTGCACCCC